CAGATTTGAAGGGTTTGTTCTTTGTTTTGGGGGGTTCTTTTGTATTTTGGAATATTTGCATGTACTTTATTGGCTGAACGTCCTCAATCTGAAAATCTGAAGTGTTCCAAAGTCCAAATATTTTTGTGTTATGTCAGCTCTTACATTTCATAATTTTTTATTTCATTTCATTTTTTCATGTGAAAAAAATTTTTGATTTTTGGATTAGGGATATTTCATCCACTATTAATTCAAATTTTTCCTCTAAAGATAAGAGCTCTTCAATGGGAGGGGGCTCATTTCCATAGCTTTAGACAGGTATAATTTAGACAGCACAACATGTACCCACTGTGTAATCCCGATGCTTTCTGGTATATTTATGTGCCAAAATCCAATTTGAGAATATTTTCATTACCATGAAAAATCCCCCCTTGCCCATGTGCAGTCACTCCAGTTCCCATGGCCCAACGTAGCCACAGGTAACAATTATTTGCTATGTGTGTGCATGTAGTGGTTCTAGGCAGGTGTCGTGGCACAAGCCAGGAACCCTAGCTACTTTGGAAATTGAGGCAGGAGGATCAACAGTTGAAGGTAAGCATGGCCAACACAGTGATATCACCCTCACCTCAGTCTCAAAAACAAAACAGAGCCTGGCGTGTTGGGGTGCACCCATCATCCCAGCACTTGGGAGGCTGAGGCAGGAGGGCTGCCGTGAGTTCGAGGCATGGCTGCATGGTGAGTTCAAGACCAGCCTGGACTACGCCGAGAGACTTTCAGGTAAAACCTGTAATACAGTAACCAAACATCCCAACCACAAAACAAAAGATGTACACTGCAGGATGTGATGGTGTGTGCTTGTAATCCCAACCCTGTGGGTGACTGAGGTAGGAGGAGGCTTGCAAGTTTGACTTCAGCTTGGGAAATTTAGGGACTCAGTGAGACCTCGTCACAAAATGAAAAGGGCTGAGGATGTAGGTCAGTGCAGAGGTCCTAACTTCAAACCAGAGTAAACCACACACACTCACTCACACACACACACACACACACAAAACACACACAGGCACAGGCACACACACATGATAAAACTATATATAAAAATAGAACTATCATGTGACCTGGCTGTACCACTCCTTGGTATAAATACCTGAAGGAATTAAAGTCAGCATATTGTAGAGATACGATGTGTTTTTGTTTGTTTTTGCCATACTGTGGGATTAAAACAAGGTCCTTCCCACGTATCTCTTGCAGCCCAATTCACAGCAGATGAGATACGGAACAAATTTAGGTATCCGTATCAGCAAATAAATGGGTAAAGAAAATGTGGTATATACATCATTTGCAGAAAGTTTGATGGGACTGAAAGAACTCCGTGTAATCTAAATAAGCCAGACTCAGAAAAACAAGTGTTATTTCTCAAATAAGTAGCCTCTTAAAGAGATGACATGAAAGCACAAGGTCTCACTCAGACTGTTAAGACAAGAGGAAGGGACTATAGGTTGGCGGGGGCGGGGGAATATGATCAGAGTGCTGGTGTTTTAGACAGAGGTGGTTCACACCTGTAATTCCAAGCACTTGGGAGGCTGAGGCAGGAGAATCACTGTGAGTTCCGGGTCAGCCTGGGCTACATAGGGAGACCCGGGCTCGAAAACCAGAACAATACAGACCCCTACCCCGTCCCAAACCGCAAAACCAACCGAAAAATAAAAACAAGGAAAACATTTTAGATGCATATGTGGAAAAGACCATATTGAAATTCAGTATTTTTGTATGGTTGAGAGGCACTATATTTTTTTTGAGGCACTGTTACAAATGTTAAAGAAATTGTTGAAGCTGTGGGGAGCCCCGAAATTGATCGCAGGTGCGGGGTGGGGGGTGGGGTGGAAGTCGTGAAGCAAGGCCTAGGAGAAAAGCAAGCTGCTCCAGATTAGGGTTACTAGGCAAAGAACTTCACCAAAGAACTCAGGTGACACCAACCTAGGAAATCGCATAACTAAACAGGCTGCATTGCTTAGAGTTGTTCCTTTTCCTCTTAGCTGGAGAGAGGGCTCCACCTGACCTCAGCTTTCTGTATAGTCTCATCTTTATTTCTTCATCCTGTCCCCCTAACTTTGAGAGCTAGGCAAGGACGGGACAGAATCAGGGCCCACTCATTATAATATAGTATATTTACTTTTTTTTTTTTTCTATTTCTGATGTAGGGGACTGAATTTATAGGGCCTTATGCATGCCAACCAAGCACTCACTGAGCTGCGAGTGCAACCTCCTTTGTTTCACTCTCTTGGGGGTGTGTGTGTGTGAGAGGCTAGAGGTTAAACCCACCATCTTTGCAACCAAACTACTTCCCAGCCCTTTTTTATTTTTTATTTCGAGACAGGATTTCGCTAAATTGCTCAGTTGCCCAGGCTGGTTTTGCATTTGATAGCCTTGTTAACGTCAGAGCACTGGGATTACAAGCATAGATCACAATGTCAGGTTTATATAGTTCTTTCTAAAGTGGTTTGTTAGAATGCCAGTGGCAGGGCTGCGGATGTAGGTTAGTGGTAGAGCACTTGGCCTAGTGCACACAAAGCCCTAGGTTTGAACACAATGTATGAGCTCACGCATGCCAGATAGCACTCGGTGGCATAAGCACCTGCCTGGCAAGTGCCAGGTCCTGAATGCAATTCCCGGTACCAAAAATACATACATACATACATATATGCATGCATGCGTGCATTTTAAGAAACATGTGAAAGGTGATTATTGTTGAAGAGAGAAAGGGGAGGGACAGCTATAGAGTAGAGGAGGCAAAAGCCAAGTGTGTGCTCCTGAAGCAGATTACTGAGTCCAAATTAGGGTGTCACTGTGACTTACTGGGTGAGTAAACTTGAGCAGATGAACCCCAGTGTGCCAGTGAAAGGAAGAAAAATATTATTCAGTGATATTTGTTAAGGCACATTAAGGCTTGACTTTATTCAGGACCATAGTGCTGGGTTTAGACACCACTGGTAATGGGGGAGACAGTTTGTTTGTAGTGGTAAATACAGTGGGGGTAAGTCAGGAGTTTATCGGCAGCCTCTTGAACAAGTGGTTCGGCAGATGTAAAATTACCAAGAGTAACTAAGGGGATGGAGTGGGGAGTGGGGAAGCTAGTTAAACCCACCCGACAAGGGGAGGAGGGCGACCTTCCACCGGGGATAGGCAGGGAGAGGAAGGGGTGGCGGTGGTTTGTTTTGGCTAACAGGGTTCTTTCGTTCAAATTGGATTTCAGAAGGCAGTATATGGAGAAATCCAGGGAAAGTTTCTTAATTAAGGTTTGGTCAAGCAAACGTGAATTGCAGAGCGGATCTCGGGGTCTGGAACTGTCTGGCTTAGGGGCATGGGATCCTGAAGGTGGAAAGCAGCTCCTCTCCCCGCGCGCCTCCGCGGGTCCCGCTCTTCGGCAGCTGTCCAGCTTGCACGGCCCGGCCGCCCTCCTCCTCGCAACAAACGGGGATGGTGCGGGGCGGCCGCGGAAGGTCGGTCGGCGTGGCGGGAGGCCGGGGTGGGGGGGGGGGAGATCGCCTGGCGACCGAAAACTCCTCACAGCCATTTCTGCGGAGGGGGGCTGTCTCTTGTCTCTGGAGAGAAGGTCTCGGGGCACGCACGCCCAGGACTGGAAGCCGGACGGGTGTGGGGGAGGAAAACAGCCCGGTAGGTGCGGCTGGGGCGAGCGCGAGCCTGAGGAGCCCGGGGTGGGAAGCCCGGCTGGCGCGGAGGGCGGCCGGCGCGCGGGCGGTGCAAGGCGGGGGAGCGGGCGGCGTTATGCAGATGAACGGTCTCGGTGCGTTGTGGAAGCGCGTTCCCTGGCAAGGATCGGGGTGTGTAGCAGGTGAAGCACGCCAGTAGGTGGTGAGCCGCGGGCCCTCTTGCTGTGTTTTGGCTGTGAGTGTGTGGGCACGGGTGAGTTGTAGCGGAGTGAGGAGCGACCGGAAGGTAAGAGTGAGGCGTGTGAGTTGTGGTAGTGGGGCGGGTCGGGGCTCGAGTCATACTTACCTGGCAGGGGAGGTACCATGATCATGAAGGTGGTTTTCCCAGGTTGAGGCTCACCCATTGCACTCCGGGTGTGCTGACCCCTGCGATTTCCCCAAATGCGGGGAAACTCGACTGCATAATTTGTGGCAGTGGGGGACTGCGTTCGCGCTTTCCCCTGGTGACTTGGTGTTAAAGGCAGGCTTTCCAGCTTGGTGGCTTTTCTTCTCCTTTTAAGTTTGGTTGGCGTGTGGCTTATGTGACCACTTTTTCCCAGGAGCCAGGCAGAAAGAAGTTGGCTGGCGTGTGGCCTATGTGACCACTTTTCCGCAGGGGCCAGGTAGAAAGAAGTTGGTCAGCTTGGGTGGGCGTCAAGTGTAGGACTCCCGGTTGGCCAGGTGAGCAGGCTAAAGTGTGAGTGATGACAGAGGAGGGGATTGTTACTTCCAAATAAAAGTGTGTGTAGAATTGGAAGCTTTTGACTTAACTCACGCTCTGGCAGGGGCGAACCTTCTACAGGTAGACAGGTTGCTTTATGTTCGCGTTTTGAACTTCCCAGTCGCATCTCCGTTGTGGTTTCTTTGCTTTCTACGTATCTGTGTGTCTTAACTTTTCCCGTTCTCACCAAGTACCCCAGGTTAGTTTGGAATTGTCATTCTCGGCTGTGCCTCTTAAGTAGCTTGAGTACTGGGCACTCGCCTCGGTGCTGCAGGGTTTGTTTCGCATACAAAAAGCCCTGAGGTACCACCCCGCACCCCCCACCCCCCACTGAAACAAACCAGTAACAAAATCAAGTAGCTGAGATTATAGGCCGCTCAACAGCAGCAACAAACCCCACTGTCCTCCAAACACATTAAACAAAGGTTTTCCCAAGAAAAATACAAAGAGCAAAAAGCAAATGACGCCTGTGACAGTAAATACGGTTGATGCTAAACGGAACCCGGAGCCATTAGCCAGTGATGCAGAAAGGAAGACGCAATGCGTCCTCTATTCGTAAAGAAGAAAGGACTTTCTTCGTAAAGTCGTAAATTCGTAAAGGCGACGGATGCGGTTCCCTTGGCATCAGAAGATGCCGGTGTGAAGCCGGCTGCCCTCCCCCGCGCGCGGCTGCAGTTCGGGCCGGAGGATCTGGGCTGCTGGGCACGCGTTCAGCCCTCACAGAAACCTCGGCCAGCCGGCGAGCTCGCGGGCGTATTATCCGCGCCGTACATTCTGGGAAATGGAAACAGACGGAGGATTACCCGGGTGCGGCCGCGGAGGCGGCAGCGATTCAGACCCGGGACAACAGAGTCACTCTGCTGCCTGCCGCCGCGTCGTCACCTCCTCCCGGGTGGGCGACACCGGCGGAAGGCTGGTCGCCGCGGAGGGCGTCACCACAAGAGGCGGGGACATGCAGATGTCACGCAGTGGCTGCCGGTTCCAGCGCGTGGTTCCCGCAGCCGCGTCTCCCGGGCGTGTCCCCGATGCAAGTAGTGTGGGGGTCGTGGTGGGAAGCAGTTGTGGTTTGCGTGGGAAGGCGTGGAGGCGGTGTGAGGGTAGTAACCGTGAGTAGGTGAGGAGTGTGCAAGGAGGGTGAGGTGTGGCGCGAGGACTTCAACTCATACTTACCTGGCAGGGGAGATACCATGATCACGAAGGTGATTTTCCCAGGGCGAGGCTTATCCATTGCACTCCGGATGTGCTGACCCCTGCGATTTCCCCAAATGTGGGAAACTCGACTGCATAATTTGTGGTAGTGGGGGACTGCGTTCGCGCTTTCCCCTGGCTTGAGTGTCGCTAAAAGTAGACTTGTTTTGTTGCCTTGTGTCTGGGTGTGAGTTTTGATCCTCCTTGCCCAATTAGCTTTTGCTTACTATCATCTACAACACTTGCCCTACCTGGCTCTGTGTATTTCTTTGTCGCGGTCCTTTTCTAGGGCTCCTCAGGTGCTTGTTCCCTGGTGCAGCCTGGTCATTACGTGTTAGCGGATTTTATAGCAGGGGGCTGGCAGCTGCCTGGCAGGGCTCCGGCTCTCCAGGTGCACATGTGCGTTCCACGCCAGCCTGACTGAGGCCTGGTCTCAAAAACGCTAAATGTTAACTTGTAGTGTTTCTGTAAGCTTTCAGTACCGTTGGGCTCTGTGTTTAGTCATGGATTGTGGAAAACTGCAACAAAAACAAAGCCACAAAAAAGCTAAAGGCTTTGACCTCTGCACCACATGTTGGTCGGTCCGTGGTGACATGCCTAAACCCACAATCCATGACTAAACACAGAGCCCAACGGTACTGAAAGCTTACAGAAACACTACAAGTTAACATTTAGCGTTTTTGAGACCAGGCCTCAGTCAGGCTGGCGTGGAACGCACATGTGCACCTGGAGAGCCGGAGCCCTGCCAGGCAGCTGCCAGCCCCCTGCTATAAAATCCGCTAACACGTAATGACCAGGCTGCACCAGGGAACAAGCACCTGAGGAGCCCTAGAAAAGGACCGCGACAAAGAAATACACAGAGCCAGGTAGGGCAAGTGTTGTAGATGATAGTAAGCAAAAGCTAATTGGGCAAGGAGGATCAAAACTCACACCCAGACACAAGGCAACAAAACAAGTCTACTTTTAGCGACACTCAAGCCAGGGGAAAGCGCGAACGCAGTCCCCCACTACCACAAATTATGCAGTCGAGTTTCCCACATTTGGGGAAATCGCAGGGGTCAGCACATCCGGAGTGCAATGGATAAGCCTCGCCCTGGGAAAATCACCTTCGTGATCATGGTATCTCCCCTGCCAGGTAAGTATGAGTTGAAGTCCTCGCGCCACACCTCACCCTCCTTGCACACTCCTCACCTACTCACGGTTACTACCCTCACACCGCCTCCACGCCTTCCCACGCAAACCACAACTGCTTCCCACCACGACCCCCACACTACTTGCATCGGGGACACGCCCGGGAGACGCGGCTGCGGGAACCACGCGCTGGAACCGGCAGCCACTGCGTGACATCTGCATGTCCCCGCCTCTTGTGGTGACGCCCTCCGCGGCGACCAGCCTTCCGCCGGTGTCGCCCACCCGGGAGGAGGTGACGACGCGGCGGCAGGCAGCAGAGTGACTCTGTTGTCCCGGGTCTGAATCGCTGCCGCCTCCGCGGCCGCACCCGGGTAATCCTCCGTCTGTTTCCATTTCCCAGAATGTACGGCGCGGATAATACGCCCGCGAGCTCGCCGGCTGGCCGAGGTTTCTGTGAGGGCTGAACGCGTGCCCAGCAGCCCAGATCCTCCGGCCCGAACTGCAGCCGCGCGCGGGGGAGGGCAGCCGGCTTCACACCGGCATCTTCTGATGCCAAGGGAACCGCATCCGTCGCCTTTACGAATTTACGACTTTACGAAGAAAGTCCTTTCTTCTTTACGAATAGAGGACGCATTGCGTCTTCCTTTCTGCATCACTGGCTAATGGCTCCGGGTTCCGTTTAGCATCAACCGTATTTACTGTCACAGGCGTCATTTGCTTTTTGCTCTTTGTATTTTTCTTGGGAAAACCTTTGTTTAATGTGTTTGGAGGACAGTGGGGTTTGTTGCTGCTGTTGAGCGGCCTATAATCTCAGCTACTTGATTTTGTTACTGGTTTGTTTCAGTGGGGGGTGGGGGGTGCGGGGTGGTACCTCAGGGCTTTTTGTATGCGAAACAAACCCTGCAGCACCGAGGCGAGTGCCCAGTACTCAAGCTACTTAAGAGGCACAGCCGAGAATGACAATTCCAAACTAACCTGGGGTACTTGGTGAGAACGGGAAAAGTTAAGACACACAGATACGTAGAAAGCAAAGAAACCACAACGGAGATGCGACTGGGAAGTTCAAAACGCGAACATAAAGCAACCTGTCTACCTGTAGAAGGTTCGCCCCTGCCAGAGCGTGAGTTAAGTCAAAAGCTTCCAATTCTACACACACTTTTATTTGGAAGTAACAATCCCCTCCTCTGTCATCACTCACACTTTAGCCTGCTCACCTGGCCAACCGGGAGTCCTACACTTGACGCCCACCCAAGCTGACCAACTTCTTTCTACCTGGCCCCTGCGGAAAAGTGGTCACATAGGCCACACGCCAGCCAACTTCTTTCTGCCTGGCTCCTGGGAAAAAGTGGTCACATAAGCCACACGCCAACCAAACTTAAAAGGAGAAGAAAAGCCACCAAGCTGGAAAGCCTGCCTTTAACACCAAGTCACCAGGGGAAAGCGCGAACGCAGTCCCCCACTGCCACAAATTATGCAGTCGAGTTTCCCCGCATTTGGGGAAATCGCAGGGGTCAGCACACCCGGAGTGCAATGGGTGAGCCTCAACCTGGGAAAACCACCTTCATGATCATGGTACCTCCCCTGCCAGGTAAGTATGACTCGAGCCCCGACCCGCCCCACTACCACAACTCACACGCCTCACTCTTACCTTCCGGTCGCTCCTCACTCCGCTACAACTCACCCGTGCCCACACACTCACAGCCAAAACACAGCAAGAGGGCCCGCGGCTCACCACCTACTGGCGTGCTTCACCTGCTACACACCCCGATCCTTGCCAGGGAACGCGCTTCCACAACGCACCGAGACCGTTCATCTGCATAACGCCGCCCGCTCCCCCGCCTTGCACCGCCCGCGCGCCGGCCGCCCTCCGCGCCAGCCGGGCTTCCCACCCCGGGCTCCTCAGGCTCGCGCTCGCCCCAGCCGCACCTACCGGGCTGTTTTCCTCCCCCACACCCGTCCGGCTTCCAGTCCTGGGCGTGCGTGCCCCGAGACCTTCTCTCCAGAGACAAGAGACAGCCCCCCTCCGCAGAAATGGCTGTGAGGAGTTTTCGGTCGCCAGGCGATCTCCCCCCCCCCCACCCCGGCCTCCCGCCACGCCGACCGACCTTCCGCGGCCGCCCCGCACCATCCCCGTTTGTTGCGAGGAGGAGGGCGGCCGGGCCGTGCAAGCTGGACAGCTGCCGAAGAGCGGGACCCGCGGAGGCGCGCGGGGAGAGGAGCTGCTTTCCACCTTCAGGATCCCATGCCCCTAAGCCAGACAGTTCCAGACCCCGAGATCCGCTCTGCAATTCACGTTTGCTTGACCAAACCTTAATTAAGAAACTTTCCCTGGATTTCTCCATATACTGCCTTCTGAAATCCAATTTGAACGAAAGAACCCTGTTAGCCAAAACAAACCACCGCCACCCCTTCCTCTCCCTGCCTATCCCCGGTGGAAGGTCGCCCTCCTCCCCTTGTCGGGTGGGTTTAACTAGCTTCCCCACTCCCCACTCCATCCCCTTAGTTACTCTTGGTAATTTTACATCTGCCGAACCACTTGTTCAAGAGGCTGCCGATAAACTCCTGACTTACCCCCACTGTATTTACCACTACAAACAAACTGTCTCCCCCATTACCAGTGGTGTCTAAACCCAGCACTATGGTCCTGAATAAAGTCAAGCCTTAATGTGCCTTAACAAATATCACTGAATAATATTTTTCTTCCTTTCACTGGCACACTGGGGTTCATCTGCTCAAGTTTACTCACCCAGTAAGTCACAGTGACACCCTAATTTGGACTCAGTAATCTGCTTCAGGAGCACACACTTGGCTTTTGCCTCCTCTACTCTATAGCTGTCCCTCCCCTTTCTCTCTTCAACAATAATCACCTTTCACATGTTTCTTAAAATGCACGCATGCATGCATATATGTATGTATGTATGTATTTTTGGTACCGGGAATTGCATTCAGGACCTGGCACTTGCCAGGCAGGTGCTTATGCCACCGAGTGCTATCTGGCATGCGTGAGCTCATACATTGTGTTCAAACCTAGGGCTTTGTGTGCACTAGGCCAAGTGCTCTACCACTAACCTACATCCGCAGCCCTGCCACTGGCATTCTAACAAACCACTTTAGAAAGAACTATATAAACCTGACATTGTGATCTATGCTTGTAATCCCAGTGCTCTGACGTTAACAAGGCTATCAAATGCAAAACCAGCCTGGGCAACTGAGCAATTTAGCGAAATCCTGTCTCGAAATAAAAAATAAAAAAGGGCTGGGAAGTAGTTTGGTTGCAAAGATGGTGGGTTTAACCTCTAGCCTCTCACACACACACACCCCCAAGAGAGTGAAACAAAGGAGGTTGCACTCGCAGCTCAGTGAGTGCTTGGTTGGCATGCATAAGGCCCTATAAATTCAGTCCCCTACATCAGAAATAGAAAAAAAAAAAAAGTAAATATACTATATTATAATGAGTGGGCCCTGATTCTGTCCCGTCCTTGCCTAGCTCTCAAAGTTAGGGGGACAGGATGAAGAAATAAAGATGAGACTATACAGAAAGCTGAGGTCAGGTGGAGCCCTCTCTCCAGCTAAGAGGAAAAGGAACAACTCTAAGCAATGCAGCCTGTTTAGTTATGCGATTTCCTAGGTTGGTGTCACCTGAGTTCTTTGGTGAAGTTCTTTGCCTAGTAACCCTAATCTGGAGCAGCTTGCTTTTCTCCTAGGCCTTGCTTCACGACTTCCACCCCACCCCCCACCCCGCACCTGCGATCAATTTCGGGGCTCCCCACAGCTTCAACAATTTCTTTAACATTTGTAACAGTGCCTCAAAAAAAATATAGTGCCTCTCAACCATACAAAAATACTGAATTTCAATATGGTCTTTTCCACATATGCATCTAAAATGTTTTCCTTGTTTTTATTTTTCGGTTGGTTTTGCGGTTTGGGACGGGGTAGGGGTCTGTATTGTTCTGGTTTTCGAGCCCGGGTCTCCCTATGTAGCCCAGGCTGACCCGGAACTCACAGTGATTCTCCTGCCTCAGCCTCCCAAGTGCTTGGAATTACAGGTGTGAACCACCTCTGTCTAAAACACCAGCACTCTGATCATATTCCCCCGCCCCCGCCAACCTATAGTCCCTTCCTCTTGTCTTAACAGTCTGAGTGAGACCTTGTGCTTTCATGTCATCTCTTTAAGAGGCTACTTATTTGAGAAATAACACTTGTTTTTCTGAGTCTGGCTTATTTAGATTACACGGAGTTCTTTCAGTCCCATCAAACTTTCTGCAAATGATGTATATACCACATTTTCTTTACCCATTTATTTGCTGATACGGATACCTAAATTTGTTCCGTATCTCATCTGCTGTGAATTGGGCTGCAAGAGATACGTGGGAAGGACCTTGTTTTAATCCCACAGTATGGCAAAAACAAACAAAAACACATCGTATCTCTACAATATGCTGACTTTAATTCCTTCAGGTATTTATACCAAGGAGTGGTACAGCCAGGTCACATGATAGTTCTATTTTTATATATAGTTTTATCATGTGTGTGTGCCTGTGCCTGTGTGTGTTTTGTGTGTGTGTGTGTGTGTGTGAGTGAGTGTGTGTGGTTTACTCTGGTTTGAAGTTAGGACCTCTGCACTGACCTACATCCTCAGCCCTTTTCATTTTGTGACGAGGTCTCACTGAGTCCCTAAATTTCCCAAGCTGAAGTCAAACTTGCAAGCCTCCTCCTACCTCAGTCACCCACAGGGTTGGGATTACAAGCACACACCATCACATCCTGCAGTGTACATCTTTTGTTTTGTGGTTGGGATGTTTGGTTACTGTATTACAGGTTTTACCTGAAAGTCTCTCGGCGTAGTCCAGGCTGGTCTTGAACTCACCATGCAGCCATGCCTCGAACTCACGGCAGCCCTCCTGCCTCAGCCTCCCAAGTGCTGGGATGATGGGTGCACCCCAACACGCCAGGCTCTGTTTTGTTTTTGAGACTGAGGTGAGGGTGATATCACTGTGTTGGCCATGCTTACCTTCAACTGTTGATCCTCCTGCCTCAATTTCCAAAGTAGCTAGGGTTCCTGGCTTGTGCCACGACACCTGCCTAGAACCACTACATGCACACACATAGCAAATAATTGTTACCTGTGGCTACGTTGGGCCATGGGAACTGGAGTGACTGCACATGGGCAAGGGGGGATTTTTCATGGTAATGAAAATATTCTCAAATTGGATTTTGGCACATAAATATACCAGAAAGCATCGGGATTACACAGTGGGTACATGTTGTGCTGTCTAAATTATACCTGTCTAAAGCTATGGAAATGAGCCCCCTCCCATTGAAGAGCTCTTATCTTTAGAGGAAAAATTTGAATTAATAGTGGATGAAATATCCCTAATCCAAAAATCAAAAATTTTTTTCACATGAAAAAATGAAATGAAATAAAAAATTATGAAATGTAAGAGCTGACATAACACAAAAATATTTGGACTTTGGAACACTTCAGATTTTCAGATTGAGGACGTTCAGCCAATAAAGTACATGCAAATATTCCAAAATACAAAAGAACCCCCCAAAACAAAGAACAAACCCTTCAAATCTGAACGCTTCTTATTCCAAGCATTTCCCATATGGAATACTCAAGCTGTAATATGGAATTTGCTTCAAAGAGTGGGGTGGGTATGGAGAGACCGAAGTCTACTGCAATTGATTTTTGCTGCAACTGGAATGGTCGAATGGGAACACCCAAAATTATGCTGTTTTACTTACACTAGAAATTTCTGGTACTGTAATTTTAAAAAGAGAAAAGTTCAAAGAAACCACATCTACCCTCCTCACAGTTCTGAGTACAGTCCTTTCATGGGTTGATACTCCTTCGACCCATCTACCTGTGAATGGGCGTCAACCCAGAGGAGGAGCAAAGAGGGAAGACAGCTCCTTGGATTCCATTTTTCAGTAAGTGAAAAAGTAGGAAAGGAGGAAAACATCGGATTTAGAGGTCATCTTTTCCTCCTTTCCTTGCTCTCAAATCCCACATCCAAACCCACCAGCAGGTCTTGTTATTTCCTTAAAAATAAACTTGGAACCCGCTCCCCTCTTGCCACCTTCAGTGCTACCACTGAGAATAAGCCTTTCTGGGCGGCTCCTACCCACGAGACTGCCAAGCCCCCTCTCTACTTTGGCCCTTGTTCCCTCAGTCTGTCAGCCCAGCCGCCAGAGAGAGCCTGCCAAGCCCGACATCATCAGCCAGGTGGTGACACCTTCCTGCTCAAAGCCCTCCACACTAACCTCACCCAGACTAGGAGGGAACAGAAGACGGAATCGTTCCCTATTTATTCTTTGAAGCTAACGTTATTCTCACGATTAAGCCAGAGAAGCACCGAGTAAAAATACAGGCCGTTGCGCCACACAGACATAGACACAAAATTATTTTTAAAACAACCAACACAGCGGGGGATATAGCTCAGCGGCACCGCGCCGGCCCGGCAAGCGCTAGGTGGCCAGCTCTGTCCCCGGTACCAAAACCAAACCAAACCAGGCGGCTTAATCCGGCGGCAGCACCAAAGAATTACACATCCATCGTGACCCTGCGGGACGCATCCCAGGAATGTTAAACGCTGGCTTAACATTAGAAAGCAAATCCGTGTAACCCAGCAGATCAGCAGATTACTAAGAAATGGACCGGTGACGGGCGGGGGGGGGGACCACAGCAGTTAACCAAATTCAACACCCCCATTAGGATTATGAGGATGAATCTCGTGGGGCCCGAGGGACGCCTGGAGCATCGCTGAAAGGCAGGCCTGCGCCGGGCAGGCCACAGGGCTCCGCCCGCCCCGCCCCGGGGACCTTCACATCCGGCCCCCGGCCCCTCCCCGTCCGGTGCTCACGCCCCGGGCCCTGCTTCCCGCCGCCGTGAAACCAGCCTGCCGAGCGGCTTTCCGCTCCGTGGCCCCAGGGCTGGCCGGGCGGGACGCGCCCGCCTCGGCTCGGCTGGGAGCCAGCCCACCACGGATGGAAGGAACACCCCGGGACGCTGGGCCGGAGAAACTACTTCCTCCTCGACTTGTGGGCGTCCGGTATTTTGTGCCAGCGACCAGAAACCTAATACAGCAAAGTAAGACCAGCTTCCTACACGGGATCTCCGAAAATCCCACAGGTAACATACGTCGCCATGAAGACTGGTGCTTGTTCTCCAGAGTGAGGATCAAAGTGTGTGCCACCCCCACCTGGCCCAAATCCTAACTAGGAACGAAGCAAAGCAGCACAAAACGAAAACAAAACACCTCACAGGGTCCCCATTTCCACACCCGGAGTGCCATACATGACGCTCACCACTGGAAACCACCTTCATGATCGCAGTCGCCCCTCCCAAACAAGAGTAGGCTGTATGCAGGGCCTACCTCACACCCACCACTATGCAATACCACAGGCACAGGGTCACCCAGCTGCCTTTTCCCAACTGTTTCTAAAATCCAGGACAGGGCCACCATAGAATCCATTCTGCAAGACACTCCTGGGTCCCTGTAGGCTTGCTTTGTTTTTGTTTTTTTAGACAGGGCCTCACCATGTAGGGCAGGCTAGCCTCGAACTCCAGGCAGTCCTCCTGCCTCAGCCTTCCAAGTGCCTGCACTCCCACATCCAGCCCCTTAGACCGTTCATAGACTGCACAAACAGCACAAATACAGTCTCAGGCACTGGCTAACACAGTAATTGACATAGTCTGCACCCACATAATTAACAGAACACTGCTAATAAAAGCACACCCTCTCCGCTAAGCTAATAAAGTTACACTTTCCAATTTAACAGTGTATTTCAAAGCTCTCTCCATGATCACACCCTAGCCACCCCGCTGTTTTCCCAGTCTTTTATTTTTATGGAAGGACTCCCTGGTAGTCTCTTTTCTACCAAAATAAATTAGACAGGATTTTTAAATCTTTAAGATACAAAGAAATTATGCTGTTTTCAAACAGCTTATTAAAGATTAACAAGCAACATCTGATGACATACCTGGGTCTGAATGGGAAGAAAAAAAGATCCGGTCAAGAGGGAAGGGATTCTGTGATGGCAGTAGAGGCTACTTCACACATCTGCCACACAGGAGCCGCAAAATATTTGGGCTTTTAATTTATTTAATTTTAGTATCCATTTATCTGTTTTTTCCAGTTGAGTCCAGGGCGATGACACTAAGTTCCAGCCACAGCCCTTTAATTATTATTATTATTTATTGATGTATGTATTTTACTTTGTGATGGGGGCCCCCTATGTTGCCTAGGCTGTCTTGAACTCGTGATCTATCTGCCCCAGCCTCACAAGTAGCTGGGTTACAGGCATGCACCACCACGTCTGGTTCCAGATCTGATCTTCTGACAGCCCGCTAGTCTGATGGTTATATACTTTCTTCCTGAAATAAGTTATTACCTCTTACACACACGCCTGTACACATACATATATATATACAGTCAGTTTATAAAGAAAACATTGTTTTTTGTGAAATAAGTGTTAGACACTTTGAAATCTAGTTGAGACCTACTCATGTAAATGACAAGGATTATCTACCTAACTACCTACCTATCTATCTATCTACCTATCACTGTTACCACCAAATAGTTTTCAAATGCCAAATGTCAGTTTTGGAAGTTTTCTGTCGCACAGTGGTTTTTTACTACTAATAACACAGATGGAACAGGTCTGCCTTTTAGGGCAAAAAAGGTGACTGTCCTTTACCTCTTGTCACTTGTAACAGGTTAACAAAAAACGTTACTGGCTCGGTGTGGTGGCACATGCCCATAATCTCAGGACTTGGGAGGCCGATGCAGGAGAATCAACACAAGTTGGAGGATGGCTTGGGCTCCTCAGTCAGTTTAAGGCCAGTTTGGACTACATAGCGAGACCCTGTCTCGAAACCAACCAACCAACCAACCAAAAAGCAAAAAACAAAAACAAAACAAAATAGCCAGGCACGCTAGTGCATGCCTCTAATCTCAGCACTCAGGAAGCCGAGGCCTCCAACCCTGAGTTGGAGGCCAGCCTGGGCTGAAGAATGAGTTCAAGAACAGCCTGAACTAGCAAAACCCTGTCGCAAATCACTAACAAAACTGATATCCTCAGAGATGCCCTGCAGATGTTAATATCCTTGAAGGGTGCCACAGCATCTCTCTGATTAGCAGAACACAAGTAGCTGGACATGGTGGCACATGCCCATAATCCTGGGTTTCTGGAGGCTGAGGAAGGAGGATCACAAATTTGAGTACAGCTTGGGCACTCAGTGAGACTCCGTTTAAAAATTAAAAACAACAATAACAAACACAGTACCAAAAAGGGCTTGGGATGTAGCTCAGTGCAAAGGCCCTGGGTTCATCTGGTAGTACCACACCTGCAAAGGTACGCATGCACAGAGACACACAGCCAGGCAGGAAGTAACAGAGATACAGAGACAGAGACAGACAGAGAAACATATTTGTTAAATACTAACATACTTAGCAAAGGAAAACTGGGAAAGTATCTTAATTCATGGAGTAACTCTACGGCCCCAAGCAGGATGCCACTGATCATTCTCCTTTATGAACAAACAGCACCCTTCTTGCTAAGTATCTCAAATATTCATAAAGCAAAGTTAGTAGTATATTGAAAGAACAGATGCGGTGGACCACCTCTGCAATCCCAGCAGTCTCGGTGCCTGGGCCAGCAAGACTATCGAGTTCACGCCCTGAACACGCAACATAGCCACCTAGGGCGAACTCATCTCAAACTAAGAAATAAAAATAAAAAAGGGCTGGAAACAGCTCATCACAAATGCCCTGGGTTCAAGCCCCACTACTACAAGACAATCAAAAGAAACACAGCCACACAAAGAGGTTTCATATCAGATCCACAGGACCAAAGTACATAAAGTATATGAAAAAAAAACCATTTCATATAGATGGTAAAGGGTCGATCACTCCACGAGGATGCCTAAATTAGCTCTCCAGTAGGAAAAAGAAAAAACACTTCCTAAGTATGTGCATGTGCATGCATAGACCTTGCTCAGGTTAAATCATCCTGGTATTTTTTTTAAAATCAGATAATGTATTCAGATGTAAATCTAAGTCACGCGCTGAAAAATACAAATGAAAAAATTATGTTTGATAGAACTATCTAAGCATGTTACTCAAGTCAGAATTAAACACAAAATTTCACTACGTCATATAGAGAAAATCATCCCAAAGCAGACAACCTCATAAAGTAAAGTTCTGGCAAAGTGGAAATATACTTGTAATGCACAGATTTGGCTGCAGCCTCTATAACCGAATATATATAAGGCAGTAGTAGGGCTAAGACTATGATTTTGTTTAGTTTTATTTTGTTTCCATTTTGTTGAGTCAGGATATCCTCTTGCCCAGGCTGCTCTCCAACTCCGCAGCTCAAGGTGCCCTCTTTCTTTGGTCTCCCAAGTAGCTGGGACTCCAGACCCACAACCATGCCTAGCTCAACAGCATGGCTTTTTTTTTTTTTTTTTTTTTTTTTTTTTTGGTCTTTTTCTTTGTCTGAGGGTCTCACTATGTGGTTCAGGCTGCCCTTGAGCTCACTTTGTAGTGCATGCTGGTCTCAAACTTGCAATGGTCCTCCTGCCTCAGCTTCCTGAGGGCTGGGATTATAGGCATGAACCACCACGCCTGGCTAACAACATGGATTCCGATGCTAGAAGGAACTCAGAAGAACACCTGGTCTACACTAAGCATAATACACGTCAGCTGGTGTTTGTGATGCTTAAAACAACATAGACCTATTGTGAATAAGTATTCAAAAGAAGCCCAACTGAAAAGTAGGCTTAAAAAGCTGGGCAAGATGATGCACATCTACAATTCCAGCTACTTAGGAAGTTGAGACCAGAGGATCAAAGGATTGAGGCCAGCCTGGGAAACTTAACAAGATCCCATTTCAAAATTAAACTTCAGAAAGCCCAAAGGATACAGCTCAGTAGTATAGTGCTGGTCCAACATTTGCAAGGGTCTAGGTTCAATCCCCACTACTACTACTACTACACACACACACAAACACACACACAGAGGTCGCAAAAGATACCATTCATGCTCACAGCAGTATTGTTTGCAATCTCTTGACAGACAGAAACAACCAAATCTTCATCCACAGACTAATGGATAAACAAAATATGGACTCTGGTGCGTGGCCTAAAGGCGAATCAAAACAACTCTTGACTCAGCATTGGTCAAGATCTGGATTGGAGCCTCAGCACCACAAAGACAAAACACGAATGTGGAAATGAGTACAGCGGAGGACAATTAGTCAGAAAAAGAAAGGAAATTCTGAAACCTGCTACAACAGCCATGAATCTTGAGGAAATCATGCCAGGCAAAATGCACAAGTCACAGAATACCACACACATCGGGGCTGGGGATTTAGCTCAGCGGCATAAGCGCCTGCCTTGCAAGCAGGCAGTCGTGAGTTCGATCTCCGGTACCAATAAAAAGGAAAAAGACAAAAAAAAAAAAAAAAAAGAAAAGAAAACCACACACATGGCTTAGATAGCTCAAGCCCATAGAAGATAGAACAGACCAGTGCTTGCCTCGTCCCAAGAGAAGAGCTACACTACATGTCTCAACAGAGAAAGAATGATGAGGAAGATTATATTAGGGAGCAAACCTTAATGAAACTTAGCTGTGTAGCTATGGAGTTTCCTACCACTCCACTGCTCACAAAACAAAATTCAAAGTGTGATCGGCTCACCAGGTTTCAACAAACCAAAGAGCTTCTGCTGACTGGCCACACATCCTCTCCTTACTCCCAGTAACTGGGTGGCTTTATGTGAGTCCCACCCAGAAACTACACGAGAATGAGACTCATAACGTACATGATCTTAGCCAAAAGACCAAGAAGCAATTATCATACTGTTAAGTCAAGCAATGTAGGCACTGAAACCACAAATTGACCCGTCCTACAAGAGCTTCCCTGACCTACCAGGCTGGGAAGAAACAAATAGCCAGAAGTACTAAGAAAGCATCCTAGGTGGCCTGGCATTGAGGCACAACAAGCCTTGAATCCCAGCTACTCCCAAGGCTGTGATTGGGCAAGTGCCAGGCCAGCCTGGGCACATCGGCCAGACCCTGCAAGAAAAAAGGCTCACGAGGGAGTGGTGTGTGGTATGGCGTCCCTTGCTTGGTTCCATCTTTCTTTTGATGTGTCTCTCCTCCTTAAAAAAAGACTACCTGGGGTTGAATGGTGGCTTCAGGTCAACTAAGGTCTGGACTCTAGTGGCCCTGGGAAGAGCATCTGAAAGGAGTGGCAATTGCTACCCTGTCCAGCGCACATCGTGGCCATCCTCAGGATTAAAGGGGCTCTGATTTGCAACCCTTCGGTAGTTTTCAGCCGGGAAGAACAGGCTAAGAACTAAGGCTAAGAACTAAGAATATTCACCCAAGGGTAAGGAGGGAGGGAGCCACTTCCCCAGAGCCATCATGCTGCCCAGGTCAGGAAGTACTGGAGACACCTTGCAAACCCCCTCCCAACTGCCAGAGACTGAACCAGAACCAGACCCCACCGGGGCGCATTTGCGAGGCACTGACCTGCTGGCTCCAAGACGCCTTCTCCACTGGGCACCTCAACAGGAAGGAGTCCAACCCAGGTCTCTCAAGACTCAGGGAACCCAGGGCAGCTCCCGGCTGGGTGCTTCCTTGCTTACTTTGCCAGCTGCTTCTGTGGTGAGGCCTGCTGTGAGGCACCTAGGGTCCCAGTGGCCTCCATGCCGCGTCCTGGTGGCAGGAAGTCATGAGTGGGTGTGGGGAATGGAGGTTGACGCCCACAATCCCACAATCCCTCGCGTGGGGGGGGCACGCTGTGTGGGCGGGCACAGGCGAGGGGGATGGCTGGTTAGAAGAGTCAAGATAGTGGAACCCGCGTGCGAGTGGGGCGCTCCTCTGAAATCCCAGCACTGAGGCCTGAGGCAGTAGGGCGTGTTCAAAGTCAGCCTGAGCAAGGCAGAGAGTTCCAGGCAAGCTCAGCTATGTAGAGTTCAAGATCTCCCTGGATAACAGAAGGAGACCCTCTCTCAGAAGAAGAGGGCCTAAGGTGGGGGCAGAGGGAGAGAGAATATGAGTGAGGAAAAGGGTGCTGTTTATTTTTTTATTTTAAAGGGATTTCAGGAAGACTCGCTGGGGAACGGAATTACCTATATACTGGGACATGCAGGCTAGACACAAGGTAAAATTTCTAGCTGTAAGAATTATGAATGTAACCACCCTCAACAGGAACTATTCAGTTTTCCAAAGAAAAGATCTTTTCTTTGCTTACCAAGGTGTCGTAAAATGTTAGCTCGGTAGTACTGCATAAGCAGCAGCACATAGTTTCCAAGAGAAAGATTTCTACTCGTATAGGAAGTTCCCAAATTAAAGATGATGAAGGGTATAAATCCGATAGTCCAGAAACCAGACCTGGTGCTCTTGTCATATGGCCAGTAGTCACAAGCACCAAATTAGAAAAAATGTGCTAATGTTAGTCTTGCTGTAATTGTATTTTTCCATACTGATGTGAGGGCACAACCCCAAATATGGGCATGGTATTGCTCAAATAAAGAGTTCTAAATGCCTAGAATTTTTTTTTTTTTTTTGCTGTTTTTCTACTAAGCCAATTCTAAATAATGTGAATAAAACAATTCAAGCTAAGCTGTTGGGAGGTATTTCTGGTGTAAAACAAGGACGACTGGTGCCAGTTTGTATGTTGGGTGGAATTAGTTCTCTGGGTGTGAAGCTTGTAACAGAAATTCTGCTTGTCTTAGTTACTTTCCTCCTTGCTAAGACAAAATATCTGCCACCCGAAGTTAAAAGAGGGAAGGTTCATTCAGCTCACAGTTTTTAAAGGTTTCAGTCCATAACTGACCAGCTCCAGGGCAGAGGGGCGCAGAGAAACAGTTCATGGTAATAGACCAAGCAAGGGAGCAAGGGAGAACCACAGCTCTTGCTAAGCCTTCTACCTTATCCTGGCTACTTAGTGTGAGTAGCACTCACATCTTTAATCCTACTGCCCTCAAGCCTAGCATTACAGCATGAATCAATCCCAGTGTCACATGCTCTAGATCCAGCCGCCTCTGAAAAAGCCCATGACTACCTGAGGCTTTGGGGGTACAGCTAGACACAAGCCATAAAGCTGCTACAAGTTTTAATTTAGAATTACTTTTCACAATTAATCTTCACAGCAACCCTATGAGATTGCCTGCTTTATTGTCTTCCTGGTTAACAGAGGAGGAAATGAAGGTTAAAGAATTTGGCTAAAATCACAGAGTAAGTGGGAGGACTGAGATATGAATCTAAGCACTCTGTCTCTAAACTTTATGCTCTTAATCTCTTTTAAAGTTCTTCAAAATGTATGTAGCAGCATCAGAACAATCCAAATATGTCCCCTTCTCTGTTGGCCAGTATGATGCATCTTTACCTGGCCTATAGCAAGACAAAGGCAAAGAGTATGCATCATCCCCATTCCCCTTCCTCCAGAAAGATTGCTTACAAGACCAAGAGATACACCTTCTAAAAAATCAATGTCTGCTTTGCATTTGTTAGGTTTCCATCGACCACAGAGCGTTTCACAACATTCTGTAGTTGATCTTTTCAGTCTTTTGGTTGTTCCCCTTTGCTGTGGAGAATCATTTTAATTTGATATAATACCATTTGTTGATACTCAATGTTATTTCTTATGCAGTTGGGCTTGTGTTAAGAAAATTCTTTCTAGTGTGTGGACAAAAGTTAAAACTAATTAAAGAAAAGAAAGAAAATTCTTGCTTACACCTGTGACTTCAAGGTTTTACCTGTCTTATCATCCAGCAGGTTAAATATTTCTGTGTTAATAATAATTAGATCTTTGGCCCATTTTGACTCTGTTTTAGTACATGGTAAGAGAAGATAGCTTCATTCTTCTGCATTGCAGTTTCCTCAGTGAATTCATTATAGGTGGACAGAACTGCTACCAATTTTTGTATGTTGATTTTGTATCGTGCAACGTTGTCAAATTTGGTTTTTAATTCTAGGTGTTTTGGTGGAGTTTTGAGTATCATGTCATCTGCAAATGGTGATAATTTGATTTATTCAATTTTCCCAGCATCATTTACTAAAGAGGCTCTTTACTCCAGCATATGGTTTTGTTCCTTTTGTCAAAGATCAAATAACTAAATGTGCTTGGAGATTTTTCTATACCCTTTATTATGTTCCATTGTTTTGCATGACTATTTTTGTGTCAATATCATGCTATTTTTATCACTGTAGCTTTGTAATATAACTTCAAACCTGAACTTTGATCCCTCCTGCTATGTTCTAATTACCCAGGATTCCTTTTGCTCTTCTGGATCTCTCCTGGTTCCGCATAATTTTTAGGATTGTTTTTTTCTAGTCCTGTGAAGAATGCTGTTAGTGTTTTGCATTAAATCTGTATCTCAGTCTGGTGAGATGGCTATTTTAACTGCCTATTCAGGAATAGAGGATATATTTCCATTTATCATGTCCTATTCAAGCTCCTTTACAAAGTTCCATAGTTTACATTGTAGAGGTCTTTCATATCACCCTTGGTTCAGGTGATGTCTATTTATTTATTTTAAAAGAATTATTTGAGACAGGGTCTCCCTATGTAATCCAGGCTACTTTTGAACTCACTGTGTGACGTAGGCTGACCTGAAACTTTTGGCTGTCCTCATGGGTTAGTCTACCAAGTGCTGGGATTAAAGAACAGTTAGGTTATTTTCTAAGTATTTATTTTCCTTAATGCTATTGAGAATTATTTTTGTCTTCTTAGACATAGGGTGTTACTATGCAGTTCAGGCTGGCCTTGAGCTCATTATTTAGTAGCCCAGGATGACCTTGAATTCCACAGCAATCCTCCTGCCTCAGCATCCCAAGTGCTGGGATTATAGACATGTACTACCATGCCTGTTTTGTTATTGTTTTTCTCACTTGTTTCCTCAGTGAGCTCATTATAGGTGTACAGGACTGCTACTGATTTTTGTATGTTGAATTTGTATCCTGCTACATTGTCAAATTTGGTTTTTAATTCTGGATGGTTTGGTGGAATTTCTGGTATCATGTCATCTGAAAATAGTGTTCATTTGATACATTCTTTTCCTTTACATATCCCTTTTACTTTGTTGTCTTGCCTTGATATGCTGGTCAATGTTTCAAGGACTGTACTGAACAATAGTGGTGATAGTGGACATCCTTGTTCCTGATTTTGGAAGGAAAACTTTCAGCTTGTCCCCATTTAATATGTTGGCCATTGGTTTGCCACAGTGGCTCATATTAAATTGAGGTAAGATGAGTCTCCATTTATTTTCTTCAGGGATTTTATCATATTGAGTAGGTGTTGAATTTTGTCAAAAGCTTTGTCTGTGTCTATTAATATGATCGTTTGATTTTTGTTGTTGTTCCATTTATGTGGTATTACATTTATTAATTTGAAACATCCCTGCATTTCTATGCTGAAATTTACTTGGTCATGATGCATGATCCTTTTTATGATCTGGTACATTCTATTTGCCAGTATCTTATTGAGGTCTTTTGTTTCTGTTTCAATAATGAAATTAGCCTGTAAATTTTATTCTGTTTTTTTGTTTGTTTGTTTGTTGTTTTTAGTTGGTTCCTTGTCTTGCTCTTCGAATCAGAGTGATCCTGGATTCTGTAGTGAATTTGGAAGCACTGTGTTATTTTCAGTTTCATTAAAGAGTTTGAGATATCATGACCTACCTGACAGTCTTTAGAATTCAGCATTGAATCCATCAGGCCTTTTTGTTTTGTTTTGTTTTGCTTGGTAGGTTTTTTATTACTGCTTCAATTTCATTGCTTGTTATTTGGATTGATCAGGGTTTTTGTCCTGGTTCAGTTTTGTTAGTCCATATATGTGTAGAAATTCTTTAGCTCAGTGGCACAAGGGCTTGCCTGGTAAGTGCACTGTCATGAGGTCAATCACTGGAGTTAAAAAAAAAAACATTCTCCAATTTGTTAGAAAACAGTTTTCCTTAGTAGTTACTAACAATCTTCTGGATGTCCGCTGTGACTTCACCTTTTTAATTTCTTTCTTTTTTTTTTAACTTTTAATAGTACACGTTTACAATTAACAATGATTACATTCACTGTAGGGAAATGGTACATGTACATAAACACATTTCAATTACTTTTTCCCTTCCCTCTATTTCCCTTTTTCCAACATTAGATTCATTTATTTATAAAACCTTATAAAGTTAATTGTCATGTATACAGATTAAAAACCAGGCTAGTGGGCCAGAGAACCTACCTCAACGTAGTACAATCATCTTACATGTTTTACCTTTTCCATTGCTAATTGCATTGATGTGAGTCCTTTTTATTCTAAGTATTTTATTGTATGCTGACACTGGTGTATATAAAATAGCCTTGTGGAAAGAAATTCCAGAAAATTCAGAGAAATAGATGTTTTGTTTTGTTTTTTATCGGTATCAGAGATCGAACTCACAACTGCCTGCATGCAAGCATGCAAGCCATGCAAGGCAGGTGCTTATGCCGCTGAGCTAAATCCCCAGCCCCCAGAGAAATGGATGTTAAGGACTAACAAAAGTAGAAGTTAGTGTGTTATGGCACATGTTAAGAAAGAGAAGTTTTTGTACAGATCTCAATTTTCTTTTTTCTGAATAGTCATTGGTTGGTTAAAAGTGGTCTGGGGAACTCTCAGAAATTCGTTTGACTACAAAAAGGTACCGACTTTCTGCAGTCTGAAGGGATTTGTTCTTGAGGGTGCTTCCATGAGCAGAGGATCATGCTGAGCATTGTGCAGGCAGAACTGTTTTACATCTGCAGCTGCCTGGGAAACCTTCATGTGGCTGAGCCTGACCTCCAGGGGAGCTGCTGAACCACTTTCTTCACAGCCGTGAAGCTGGAGGGCCCAGACGTAGTACACTAGAGGGCTGGCTGACACCAGGGCCAGGGTCAGCCTGTTGAGGGTTAGCTAGGCTAGAAGGTAAGGCAGCACGCGAATCGGATGGGACACCCAACTTTGTCCTGATGTGAGTCCTTTTTCTCCTTCTTTTGCTAAGTTTAGCTAAGGGTTTATCTATTTTGTTTCTTCCTTGAAAGAACAAGTTCTTTGATTCACTGATTGTTTCATGAATTTTTGCTCTGATTTGGTTTTTTGGTTTTTTGAGACAGCATCTTGCTACATAGTTCAGGCTAGCCTTGAGCTCACAGTGATCTGCCTGTCTCAACCTCCTGAGTGCTGTTGTTACAGGAATTATAGACAAAAAAATTTGTCTTTTTGTTGAACATCTAAGCAACTTCTATTTTTCATTGTACTTAATTGGTGTTCTGTAAGCCTATCTTACCTACATATCACCATCTTTCTTCACGTTTGGAAACAGTTCTATTATGATTTCTGTAAACAGAGTTGACTCCAAAGTCTGAGCCCCCACCTAATATGAGAAGTTACTATTATACTGTTATCAAGTAGAGTGGGGGTCTTTTGTTAGTAAGTGGAACTTACTGAATATGTGAACAAACTGGAAACAATAAGAACCTGCATATAGCTTGTTCCTCTAGTACAAAGCTGTTTAGAGAAGTGTAAGAAACCTTGCAGACTATTGACATATT